TCGCCATGCCTCTTATGAAGTACGTCGGACTGTCTACTCTGCAAAAAGTGGTCATTTGGGGATATCTGTACTGTTCTGACATTTGGGGGATATCTGTACTGTTCTGACATTTGGGGATATCTGTACTGTCCTGACATTTGGGGGATATCTGTACTGTTCTGACATTTGGGGGATATCTGTACCGTCCTGACATTTGGGGGATATGTGTACTGTCCTGACATTTGGGGGATATCTGTACCGTCCTGACATTTGGGGGATATCTGTACCGTCCTGACATTTGGGGATATCTGTACCGTCCTGACATTTGGGGGATATCTGTACCGTCCTGACATTTGGGGGATATCTGTACTGTCCTGACATTTGGGGGATATCTGTACTGTCCTGACATTTGGGGGATATCTGTACCGTCCTGACATTTGGGGGATATCTGTACTGTCCTGACATTTGGGGGATATCTGTACTGTTCTGACATTCTTGGACCTCAAGAAATTAGACTGGCTGTCAGTACTTCAGGATTGATCAATATTCAGATCTATACCATAGTTTGTGAACTCTATAACTTTCCTACAAACTAAAAAATACATCCTAATTTGGGTTATTTTCACCAAAGACATGTAGCAGAATACATCTCGGCCTAAATTTATGAAGAACAATTATTTTTTTGTAAACATTTATAACAGAAACAAATAAAAATGTGTTTTTTTTTTCAAACATTTTTGGTCTTTTTTTGTTAATTTAGCAAAAAAAAAAAACCCCAGCGGTGATTAAATACCACCAAAAGAAAGCTCTAGTTGTGTGAAGAAAATGATAAAATTTTAGTTTGGGTACAATGTTGTATGACCGCGCAATTGTCATTCAAAGTGTGAGAGCGCTGAAACCTGAAAAATGGCCTGGGCAGGAAGGGGTAAAATTGCACGGTATTGAAATGGTTAAGTAATGATGAAGTTATTGATGAATAAACAGGTCCATAGCGGAAATATAAATTGCTCTGCTTCATGTGGGGGTGAAGAGGGGAGAGAGGGGAAGTGGTGAAGGAACATGGAATACAGTATACAATTTTGGATAGGGATGTGGTGCCGGTATGAGATGATGGTCAGCCTAAGGTTACTATCGTCATATTTATGCCACAGATTCTACGTTTTCTCGTATTGAATTCCCCAAACTATAGTTTCACTATTAGCCCAATTAATTCTGTATCTCTCCAGTAATCATTAGAACTTGTTTACCAAAGAGACCATGAGTTGTAGAATACACACGGGGCATTTCTGTTCCATAGAGACACATTTATTTACCATTCCTTGAAGGTATATCTACCTGTTACTTGTATTTTCACTGAAATACTGATTATAATTTGCTGTGGGAGACTCACATTTTTTCCGTCAGCTGAAGAACACATTATTTGTTAGTAATGAGTAATGTGTTGTTGTCACCTTTATTTTTGTATATCTCTGCATTTAGTTTCCTGAAAGGAATCCTTCTCTGAAGGGATTTCACATTGCTGTAGGTATGTGCTGAATACAGGACCTTGTACTCATCTCATTAATTCCTCTACAAAGAAAAAAAAGGTTGTCTGATTTCTTTGTATAAATTAACCCTTTTCTGCACCAGCTCTGATATTTTCCACCCCTAGTTTGTGATCACCATTGGAGTTCTGTGTGTGTCTATGTGAATGGATTTTATGTTGAAACGTCTGTATTGCATTTGTTTTATTTTTTATAATATACAGGATTTGTATAGCGCCGACAGTGTGTGCAGCGCTGTACAACATGAGGGCAAACAGTACAGTTACAATAGAATTCAATACGGGAGGAATCAGAGGGCCCGGCTCGTTAGACCTTACAATCTAAAAGGGGATGTCAAGACGAGAGATACAAATTGTAATAACTGGGGGATGGTCTGATGGAGAAAATACATGTACAGTTGTTAGGCGGGGGCAGGATAGGCTTCTCTGAAGAGCAAAGTTTTCAAGGATTGCATAAAAGTGGGCAGAGTAGGAGATAGTCAGACAGATTGGGGTAAGGGAGAAAAAGTCTTGGAGATGAGCATGGGAGGAGGTGATATGGGAACTAGAAAGCAGGAGGTCTTAGGAGGAACGAAGAGAGTGATTTGGTTGGGTATTTTGATTCCAGGTTAGTGATGTAGCCGGGGGCCGAGTTGTGGACGGCTTTGTAAGTTGTTGTTAGTATTTTGAATTTCATTTGTTGGGTGAGTGGCAACCAATGGAGGGACTGACAGAAAGGGGTGGCAGACACTGACCGGTTGGTGAGTCTGGCAGCAGCATTCATGATGGACTGAAGAGGGGATAGCCTATGTAAGGGTAATCCAATGAGGAGGGAGTTACAGTAGCTGAGGCGAGAGATAAACCTGGGAGTGAATTAAGAGTTTTGTGGTGTCATTGGTCAGGAAGGGGCATATTTTGGAGATGTTGTGGAGGTTAAGACAGCAAGCTTTGGAAATTGATTGAATGTGGGGCAGAAAGGAGAGTTGAGAGTCCAGGATTACACCTAGAACCCCGACATATGGAGATGGGCTGATGGTTGTGCCATTGATCTTGACAGAGAAGTCGGGAAGGGGCACATGGGGGAAGAAATCTTTTTTTTTAATCTTCAATGACAATAGCTTGATTATGGGAGGTACAAGGACCTAGTATGATGCAGCTGAGACCTTTGAGTGGGAAAAAGGTGACTTAAAAAAAAAATTTAAAGTGGTTCCAAAGTCTCAAGGTTTTTTACCTTAATGCATATGCATTAGAATGAAAAAAAGTTCTGTTCCACAAACTAGCCTATCTCACCCCCCTTATACTTACCTGAGCCCCATCAAGATCTAGAGCTGCGGCTCTCCTGACTTTGTCCCTCCTCACTGAGCATACTGATAGCAGTTGGAGCCATTGGCTCCTGCTCCTGTCAATCAACTCCAATGATGAGGTATTGGGGGTAGAGCCGAGACTCCCTGTCTGTATCAATGGACACAGCGGCAGGACTCAGGTGTGCCTTCATGCCTTCCTATTTGGGGCACCAGCAACGGAGGAGGAGCCAGGAGCGCCGGAGGGTACTCAAGAAGAGGAAGATCGGGGCTGCTCTGTGCAATTCTATTGCACAGAGCAGGTAAGTATAACATGCTTTTTTTTTTAAAATTTTCCTTTACAACTACTTTAACTTACATAATAAAAGTGAAAACAGTAATGGATTTCTAATTCTGACTGCTGTTGGTTGTGGAAGAGTGCAAATACGATGCTTTCTGCAGTCACATTACAGAAGACCAAAGGTTGGACTTCTCTGCTCTAAATCAGAGGGCTCATTACAATGAGATGATTTTTTATAAGATGAAAGATTTAAAGACCTTTTGACCGTTTTCCAGCTTGTTCAGTTGAGGTCTTTTCAATTGTACCCTACTGGGTCAGTTTACTAGTCAAATAGGCAATAGAAGTTGCACTTTGCCTCATGCATTAGCTAGGCAAGCAGAGCCTCATAAACAAGGCCATCTAAATTGGAAGTAAATTCTCCTATCATTTTCAGCCAAGGAAGCTGCCATCTTAGCTTCTGTTTGACCTTCAACTGCCATGGTGCTGCACATGTGATCAGTTATGACACCAGCCAATAGATGGTTTGACAGTTTGGTTGAGGGCACAAACAATTTGTGACAGTAATATTCCTGGCCAGGGGCGGACTGACAATTCATGGGGCGCCCGGGCAATAAGGGATCATGGAGCCCCTGTGTCCTTGCCCAAACTCAAAAAAGCCTATGAAAAAGGTACCAGGGGCATCTCATGGGGCCCCCTACTGACCTCGGGGCCTCGGGCAGTGCCCGAGTTTCCAAATGGTCAGTCCGCCCCTGTTCCTGGCACATGCCAGGAATGTAACTGTTTTTTTAATCTAAATCGATGGGTTTTAGGCTGCCAGTCCTGCAGAACTCCTAAATGGCTGTTTACTTACAATAACTGGTCAGGTGCCTCTTCAGAAATTTAATATTATTCTAGAACCTAATTCATAAAAATAATAGCATTTAAAATGATACATACTTTAGCAGTCAGTAGTTGCACACAGGGTTTTGCCATATATATTGCGGAGTTATGTAAAAATCTCTTGAGTTTTCAACTTTTTTTTTTAACACCATTTATTTGAAGCGGAGAAATATTATCTTCACCTCACATTATAGAAAAGTAAGCCCAGGTTGTCTTTAATTCTCCTTCTTTAGCTCACTTCACATTTCTGTAAATGAGATCCTTATACAGGCATTTCAGAATATATTGCATTTGGTACTTGGCCAGCCATATCATTTTGTGGAACAAGCTATTTTTCTCTCTGACTGTCAGACCCTTTAAGTGGCTCGCAAATAACTATTCTTAAAAAAATGTTAAATAAGTTTGTTTAAAATGTGTTTCTTTTGAAGGCATGGAAGAATTTATTCCCCAACAATTGCTGGAAGTGCAGAACAAGTCTTCAATAAATAATGTCTTCATTGTTGGGTTGAGGATCCACCAAAGCTACAGACTTATTGTCTTCTGCCTCTTCATGGTCACCTACTCCCTGACCTTTTCTTGTAATTTTTTGATCATCTTGTTGGTGTCCTTCTCTAAACTTTCTCATTCTCCTATGTATGTGTTTCTCTCCAATCTGTCATTGTCGGAGATCTTGGTCACCACCAACATTGTTCCCCCCATGCTCCACATCCTACTTAGAAATGGCACTTATTTTTCGCTTATTGGCTGTCTCACTCAGTGCCTCTTATTTGGGGTGTTTCTAGTTACAGAAAGTTTCCTCCTCTCAGCAATGTCCTATGATAGATTTCTGGCGATCTGCAAACCTCTTCACTACACACTGATTATGGGTCCCAGGTTGTGTATTTGTCTTATCCTCGTCTGCTGGGCTTCGAACCATACTCATGTCCACTGGTTTTTTATTTTGTGGCAACTTTGAATTTTTGCAGAGACAATATTATTGATCATCTCTATTGTGACATTATTCCAATGTTGCAGTTGTCTTGTTCTGACACTTCCACCGTTGTAATGATTGTGTCTTCCTTTTCATCTGCAACTGCTATGCTCCCTCTCCTTGTAATCATATCTACCTATGGGTTCATCATCAGAGCCATCACCAGGATCTCATCATCCAAGGGAAAAAAGAAAGCTTTCTCCACCTGTAGTTCCCCACCTGGGAGTCGTCTCTACATATTATTCCACCATGATTTTGGTCTATATGATTCCATCTGGTCATTCTGTGACAATGAGCAAAGTTCTATCTCTGCTCTATACGGTGGTCACCCCACTAGTGAACCCTTTATTTACACCCTCAGAAACCAAGAGATCAATGCAGCTATAAGACAAATCTTGTCATCCATAACCAGACACTAAAATTGTTAGTCCATTTAAAGTTAGATTGGACAGACCTTCAATGTACCTATTTAGTAGTAATGGTACAATGATAGTTCTAGACAAACCTCACCTAGGAAGTTTGACCTTCTCTTTTGGAGTACACGCCACTATGGCGAATATACCCAATCTTGTATCAACTTTCTCATTCTCCCATGTATGTGCTCCTCTCCAATCTGTCACTAGCAGAGATCTTGGTCACCACCACTGTTGTCTCCCCCTCCCCCACACATGCTCGACATCTTACTCTTATTGGCTGTTTCATAGTGTTTTTTATTTGGTGTGTTTCTAGGTATAGAAAATGTCCTCTTCTCAGCAATGTCCTATGATAGATTTCTGGCGATCTGCAAACCTCTTCATTACTCACTGATTATGGGTTCTTGGTTGTGTATTTGTTTGATCCTTGTCTGCTGGGCTTTGTCACCCTGATCACGTCCATTCCTGTAAGTTTTGTGGTAACTTTACATTATTGCAGAGACAATATTTTTGACCATTTCTATTGTGACCTTATTCCAATATCGAAGCTCTCTTGTTCTGACACCTCTATATCTTGTCCCATCTGGTCATTTTGTGAGATTAAACAAAGTTCTATCACTGCTTTATATGGTGAGCTCCCCACAATTGAACCCCTTTATTTACACCCTCAGAAATCAAGAGATCAATGCAGCTGTAAGACAAATCTTGCCATCCACAACCAGGCCCTAAAAATTGTTAGTCTATTAGAAGGTAATTTGGACCAAACCTTATTTAAATTGGTTTTAAATCATTACATTACATTATTACATTACATTACATCGAGTTTATATAGCGCCAAAGGGTTTGCTCAGCGCTGTACAATAGAGGGGGGGGGACAATACATGAAACAGTACAGCAACTACAAACAGCACACGAGGGGTTATAGGGCCCTACTCTTTCGAGCTTACAATCTAGGAGGGAAGGGGTAGTGGTACAGGAGGAAGTGGCTGTGGGGGATGGAGTGGTAGGAGGAATGAAGGAGAGCGGCAGTTAGGTGAGGGTGGGGTAGGCTTCCCTGAAGAGGTGGGTTTTCAGGGAGCGCCTGAAGGTGAGGAGGAGGAAGGTGACAGTCTGATGGATTGGGGTAGTGAGTTCCAGAGGATGGGGGAGGACCTGGAGAAGTCTTGCAGACGTGCGTGGGAGGAGGAGACCAGGGGGCAAGATAGAAGGAGGTCCTGTGAAGAGCGAAGGGTACGGGTAGGGTGATACCTGGGAATCAGGTTGGTGAGGTAGTTAGGGGCAGTGTTGTGAGCGACTTTGTAGGTCATTACACATTCCAAGTGAAGTGAAAGGCCTCAGGTGGTGATGAGAGTTGAAACAAATCTTCCTACTTAAAGTGGTTGTAAAGGCTCAAGGTTTTTTACATAGTTAGTCTGGCTGAAAAAAGACAAAATTCCATCCAGTTCAACCATTAAAAAATATATATATATATAATCCTACACCCACAGTTGATCCAGAGAAAGGCAAAAAAAACCAGCAAAGCACGATCCAATTTGTTCCTGCAGGGAAAATAATTCCTTCCTGATCCCCCGAGAGACAATCGGATATTCCCTGGATCAACTTTACCTGTAAATGTTAGTATACCAGTTATATTCTGTGTATCTAAGAAATAATCCAATCTATGCCCGAAAGGTTAAAAAAAACCCTACTGTGTGCACCCCCCCCCAGTCCCCCCTAATATTTACCTGAGCCCCCTCTCCATCCAGCGTTGTGCATGAGAGCCTCAGCTGTCCTGAGACTCCCTCTCCTCATTGGCTGAGCCATTGCTTGCCGCTGTCAATCACAGCCAGTGAGCTAATGAGGAGAGAGTGAGCCATTGCTCTATGTGTCTTATGGACGCATAGAGCCGGGCTCCAGAACAAGCACACACCAGTGCCCCCAGAGCAAGTGGCTTGCTATTGGGGGCAGAGGTCAAGGGGGAAGAACCAGGAGCGCCGGCAGGGGACGTGAAAAGAAGAGGATCAAGCTGCTCTGTACAAAACCACTGCACTGAGTGGGTAAGTATGACATTTTTTTTTAAGCTAAACCATTAGTACCCTTTTAAGTTGTACCTGTTTATTTGAAACCCCCTCTTCTCTACACTCGTTGAAAGTGCAGGATTTATAAACGATCCCTCAGCCCTAAATGGCAGGAGGCGGGGAGCTAAAGTTTCACCCTGCTGAGCTCAGTAAGGGAAACTCTGATACCTGATTGGAGAGAAGGGACACCCCCCCCCCCCCCCCTTTCACACAGCTCACAGGAACAGAGTTGAGGCTGTCAATCACAGGCTGTGCCCTCTCCTGTCACCTTTTTTCTCTTGGCATCAGGAGAATTTGTCAGAAGTGACTCATGCAGATAGCAGAAGAGCAAGGCAGCAGAGAAAAATATTATTATTATTATACAGGATTTATGGCGCCAACAGTTTGCTCAGCGCTTTACAATATAACGGGAGACAATACAGCAACAATACAGTTCAATACAAGAGGGAAAGGAGGGCCTGATCCTGGGAGCTTACAATCTAAAATACCAATTAGTGTTCTTAAGGGAGACAAGTACACACTACAGAGGGATATGATTTGCTCATATTTCATGTCTGAGGTTCACAACCTCTTTACATCTGGTGGAGTCCTCATATATTTGAAACATATAAATTTTTAGCTATGTAACCAATCAGAACCTCAGCAAAGGATTGCATTATATGTTTAGCGGCAGAATATATAGGACTGCATTTCTATTTCAATGGTTTTTATTAATTTTTAAACAGTATAAAAGAGAGGCAATAAAACACGCCCACGCAGGGGCTATCAATTGCACAGATAAAAAAAATGCAAAATAAAAAAAAAAAAAGGAAAAACAGTGCTCTAATGCCAACAGGGCAAAAGGTACGCCCACACAGAGGCTATCAATGGCACATAAATTACAAAACATTACTGTAACTGACTATAACAACTAAATGCAGCAGGCCAGTCACACCAAAACAGAGAAAGAATGAAAAAAGAAGAAAGAGGGGAAGAAAAAGAAAGAGAGAGAAAGAGAAAAAAAAAAAGAGAGGGGCAAGGGGCAGGGGTCCAAGAGCGCCAATACCGAACGCCATTACATCCCCAGGCTAGCCGGGGAGAGTGTGGGAAAGGCATATTGCAACCATGGCTCCCATATTTTCAAAAATTTATGTTGGGAGTCGTTGCGGATACTCGACATCTGTTCGTTGAGCATCATAGTGGTCATACGATCCCGCACCCCCTGAAGAGGGACAACCGGACTCTTCCAGGCCTGAGAAATTGTTCTAGTGGCCGATAAAAACAGATAGGAAGCCAACTTCTGCTGATGAGCCAAGAGGCCCGTATGGGGCAATGAAGCAAAGCACACCGAGCATCCCGGCGGATGGAGAGATGGAACAAGGTGAAAAGGAGGCCAAACACACGAGACCAAAAACGAAACAGTCTCGGGCATGACCACCAGATATGCAATACATCTCCACGATGGCCACAACCCTGAAAAACGTTGATCACTACAGGCAGGGTTAGCCCGGGCCAACCGAGCCGGAACCCAGTACCAGCGAAACAATACCTTATAGGCTGCCTCCAGCGTGGTCGTATCAAATGAGCATTTAGCTATGAGTGACCAGGCCTTATTCCAGTCCTCCGGATCCACGGCCACTCCCAGGTCGCGTTCCCACTGAACGACATATGAAAGAGAAGTATGCTGCGAGCGTCTATTCAAAGCTGCATAAAGAAGGGAAGTAAGGCCTGGGGCGCCTGGCCGTTGTTGGCAAAGCTGTTCAAAGGCAGATTTCTGGTACGGGAAGACAGACGTGCCCCGCAATGAGATCATAGGACTGCATTTCATCCTAAGGGTAGACCTTGATAGGAACTAAGTCACCCAACTTGGACCTTACAACAGAATCCTTAAGACTCCTATTGTACCTCTTGTGGGTTGGAATCATTTTCATAACTGGACAGTCCATCAATCTGACATCTGTATTTCATGCCTGCATCTGATTGCTGGAGGGACTCCTAACCCCAACTCTCCAACTATCACACACCTCAGGAGTCTTCTTGTTCTACTGCCAGTACTGCATTATTGTCCTTGTCTGGTTGTACTTTGACTTGTCTCTTCCTATCTATCCCCTCAGCAGTCCTTCTGTCCCCATCCTTGCCTAGGTTCCGTTCTAAGTTCCTGCACATATTTGTATTGGAATTTCCTGTATTGGTGTATTTGTTTGCAATGAAGTGTTTTACATCTGTTTGTGTTTTGCTTGGTTCCATTATTTGTTGCACTTCTGGAACTGGTCATGTTCTCATAATAAACAATTTATTATCACACAAAGTCTAAAGTTTAGGTTCCTTTATAATGGTTCCAGCCTGATCAGATCCGTCATATGGTATTCTGCCACTGAATTCCTGAAAGCTCTGGGAGAACCTTCACACTTTTTAAATATCCCAAGTACTGTATGTAACAAAGCCATGAAAATCTGGCAACAGTTTTACATTGGGAAAAGTCAGTTCAGGGTAAACCTTACAAAGCTTTTTATGGAGGGAGGTCTTAAAAATATAGTAATATTTCAGGGTGTAAGGTCTCTTCCTCAGCAGAAACCTCAGCCTTGACAAAACTAAAACAAATGACATGAATTGCAAGGCAAGTTCCTCCATCAGGAAGTTGAAAGAAACTAGTAGAGCCTTTACCAAGAACTCTTACATAGGGCCATCTGTTGGTAACATCCCTTTCTGCACTTAGCTCAGAGAAAGATCACAATTTATTGATTATCCCTTATTATAAGGATACAGTACACTGCCAAAAGTATTGGGCCAGCCCTCCAAATCATGTGATTCAGGTGTTCCAATCCCCTCCCAATCATGTGATTCAGGTGTTCCAATCCCCTCCAAATCATGTGATTCAGGTGTTCCAATCCCCTCCAATCCTGTGATTCAGGTGCTCCAATCACCTCCATGCACACAGGTGTATACAATCAATCCCCTAGGCATGCAGACGGCTTCTACAAACATTGGTGAAAGAATGGGTCGCTCTCAGGAGCTCAGTGACTCCAAGCGTGGTCCCGTGATAGGTGGCCACCTGGGCAATAAGTCCATCCGTGACATTTCCTGGCTGCTAAATATTCCACGCTCAACTGTTAGTGGGATTATAACAAAGTGGAAAGCAACTGGGAACAACAGCCACTCAGCCACCAAGTTGTAGGCCACGTCACATGACAGGGCGGGGTCAGCGCATGCTGAAGCGCACAGTGCGCAGAAGTCGCCAACTGTCTGCAGAGTCAATAGCTAAAGACCTCCAAACTTGGTGAGGTCTTCAGATGAGCCCAACAACTGTGCGTAGAGAGCTTCATGGAATGGGTTTCCATGGCCGAGCAGCTGCATCCAAGCCTTCCATCACCAAGTGCAATGCAAAGCGTCGGATGCCGTGGTGTAAAGCACGCCGCCACCCCATGTCCACAATTTTAAAGGGTGCCTCGGGACTGAACACATTGCAAAGAGCAGGTGAGTATAACATGTTTATTATTTTAAATTAAAAAAAAATCACCTTTAGCCCTGGTTCACATTGACGTGGTGTGGAATTTCTGTGCGAACTGCCGCACTGCATCAGAATCACACCCCCTTAATGCAAACCACTGCGGGTGTGTATGTTAAGTTAACAACACCCTGGAAGCGGCCCATAAAAACGTGGTGCGATGTATAGAATTGGGTCACATAGGTGTGAATACCCGTGCGATCCGATTCTAGTGCAAACCCAAAAAAGGTCCTACACCTTTTTGGTGCTGGTACGGTGCGAATTAGAGCCATACAAAATGTACGACTCCAATTGCACCCCCAGAAATCACATGTGATTTGCACAGGAATGCGGTGTAGTTCCTGTGCGAATCACATGTGAATGTACCGCACCACATATATGTGAACCCGGCTCAGTGTCACTTACACCCCTCACGCCTAGGGGTAAA